ACCAGACCTATATAATAGCCCAATTTGTAAATTATGTACAAAAGAAGAAGAAGAAGATCAAGAACATTTAACTTCATACGAGAAATACAAAATCAAGTGGATAGAAGCAGAGCAGCTAGCATCAAACTTGGCTTAGACAGCTCTTTCAGAAGAAATCCGCAGTCGTCTTGGTAAGGCTTAACTTAAAAGCTCTTTTTAGGGTTTAACGAAAGAAGAAAAAAATGAGATGAGAGCAGGCATTCTTAAAGGACTAATTAAAGATAGAATCGCAAAGAAAATCTTTGAATTAGTAGGATCTCTAAAAGAAGTCAGAAGCTATCTCGACACAGCAGTCAACTCAGCCTGAAATTACTTTTATGAAAACATCTGAAAACAAAGATGTGCATTCTTTAATAACTGGGAAAAGAAAAATAGTATAAACTCGAAAAAAAAAAAAAAAGAGATCCAAAGTTGAAAAAACAGCTACCAGCAGAAATAAATCAAATATGAATTATGGAGAATATAGTCAGAGCCAAGAGCAAACTAAAGAAAAGGTGAAAAAGAAAGAGAAAATCATTAAAGAGAAGGAAGTTAACAGAAAAGAAAATACTTAGTTTGCTGCGATTAAAGACTTTATTGTAAATAGTATGAAGCTATTTTGATATAGCTTCAATGGCTAGCTTGATGCAGCTTTCTGGTACGGGCATTAGCCTTAACCTGTGAGGCAGACCGTTTTTGGATGCCCTTAGAGGTAGCCAGAGAATGTTGGATCTATAGTTTGATAGTTAAATATATGTATATATATGTTTTGATCTAATAAAGATACTGGCAAGGCTGCCGATAATCAAAAAAAAAAAAAAAAAAAAAAAAAAAAAAAAAGTTGAAAAATTTTAGCAACATGGCATAAAAAATTTCAAAGAATGCTTTTTTTTTGGCTTGATTTTCTGTAGATTTTTGAAGTCAGGTAAGTTTAGCAATTTTATATACAAATTTATTTTAATGATGAAATATTTATATGATTTTTATATTATAATTTTAATCACATAAATTGGAAAAATAATCTTGAAGAGATACAAAAAATATTAATAATAAGTTATTTTAATATTATAATCAGATTTAATTTTTTATTTTATATATATAAAACAACTAGTATTATTAATTTAGAAATTAAGGTCCAAGGCTTCGAATCGTTCCAGATTGTATGTCGCACTCTCTGATTTTTTGCTTTCTCTATATCTGAGATAATTGTAAAGTGCGATTTAGATTATTAATAATAGCTTCTACATGTGGCAAATTATTTGCAGCTAATTCTTCATTGATATGGTTGACCAAACATTGCAATGCTACTATTTTAGATTCTAACTTTTGATGTTATTAGGTAATATCTTCATGATGCTCATTTATATCAGATTGATCAAAAATATTTGGCTCATATGTTCTAACAGTTTCTATATTTTCAAATATATTTTCTGATTTATTTCCATCCCAAATTAAAAAAAGATAGTCAGATAGTCATTTAAAATTTGAATATATTAACCGAATACCTTCAGATTGATTTACTTTTTCTGATGCTTTATAGATTAAATGCTTATATATAAAAAAGCAGTTACGAAAGAAAACTGGACAGCTACAAATCCAGCGTTCCAAATCTATATAATATCGATTTTTAATATTATTAATTGATTTGGTAAGAAGATTTCTCCATTCTTTTTTGAATTTTTCAAACCATGATGGTGTTACTCTATCTAATTTTAATTGTTAAAGTCAGTTAACCTGATCAGGTACAACACGTGTACAGATAATCTATATTAGGTAGTCAAGTCATGAGCAATTAAATTGATGAAGGTAATAATGCTTTAAGACTCGTCAATGTGCCTCAATCATCATGTTGGTTTTGCCAAGTGGTATGGTTGTTTTGGTTGAACATGCCCAAAGACACCACCTAGTAGGCTTATACCAAGAAAACTATAAATAAGCCCACAATATTACAAGATTATTAGCAACGCAGAATTTATATATTTCAGATACTGCTTTTATTCATATTTCAGCAAGAGACAAAAATTGTTCATCAATGCCAATGGGAATCTTAGAATGCATATTGAAATGGTTTCTAACCATTTCAATAACAGTTTTATGAAAAGCAGATAAGCAAACTATATAATATTCTTTATCTTTACGTCGCTGATCTGGTATAAAGGAAGAATTTATAAAATTAAATTCTTCTATAGCTTCTTCATAATTATAATTTAAGTATTCAATTTTTTTAGAACTTCGTAGTTTTTCCTTAAGAGCTTTGTCAATATGCTATTGACAAAGCTGTATATCACAAGTAGGCCATATATTTTTCGCTGCATTTATTTCAGCGAAATCCTTATCAGTATAAAAGTAAACAGGATTTAGGCCATTATCATGAAGGATGCAAAAAAAACCTGTAAGAGCTTCTGTATATAATTCTTCTTAATTTTTATTTATTAAAGCTTTAGTAATATCTAATATTAAATATGCTAATAGAAAACCTGCACCCTCAACATTGCCAACGAGTCCATAAAGTTCAAATCATCCTTTGGAAGTCTTATAGGTAGCATCACAATGAACTTCCATATAGTATGATTAGTTAAGCAATTTTGTTACAAAACCAATAGCCATCACCTTGTCTGTTTCAAGTTGATAGTACAAGGTACAATTACTGTTTTGTTGCCGATCAAAATATATTCATGCTGAAATAATATGATTTTTATTTAACCTATAGAATTGTTGTATATAAAACGACCACCAGTAATGGATTTGTTTGGATGTAATATTAGATAAGTTAAAACTCTTATGAAGATATTTTTGTAATTCCATAGGATTTAAATATAAATTTTTACTAATCTCTTGTTTTATTTCATCTGGAGTTTCAATATCAGTAGGTTTTTCATGAAGAAATTTATAATTTAAAACTACCTTGGCTTTTTTTGCGGGAATATCAATTTTAATTGATATTTTGCTATTACAATTATAACGAACAATTCTCTCATAACTAGAATCTTTGTATTTACACATAAGTTCATAACTTTGGAAACATGTGAAATAAGCATTTTCAATACTATGTTAGCGAGCAGAAAGGTTTAGTGCTGTTGTAGCTCTATATTTTACAAATATTAATAAATTAATTTTTATATAATTATACAAATCACTCTCTTTATAGTGAAGATAAATTCTAAACCAGTTTATATAAAAATTCCTTTGATATAGTAAATTTACTAATAACTACCTGATATAATGAATTTTTTTTAAATTTTTACTATAGAACAATCATTTCACTATAATGAGAGTAACTTGTATTACAATTTGTATTTTTATTATATACGTCCAGTTATAGCTATCTCCTTCCTCTATTTCATCTATTATTAATTTAGCCATAATTTTAACATCCGTTTCAATATTATTAAGAGTATTCTCATCAAGTTGAATACAAAAAGAGTGTGAAAGTTCAGCATTGTATTCCAAGTCATTAATTGCAACGATGATATATTTGCTAATTTCTTGAAAAAAAATTAGCTTGATTGTAGGTTGTTCAATATTAGGGTCACCAACTAATTCACTTTGTTTAATAGTTTTGTTATTAGTTCTCAAAGTTCTGCAATGGTTACAAGTCTTGTAAGATTTGTCTTTATATATAAATGCATTAAAAGGAAGAATGCCAGAACAAGTACCGCAAGTAGGCATTGTGATTGATAGCAGGAAGGCTTTGGGCAAAGAATTTATTTTATTTAAGTTTTTGAATACTTAATAATTAGCAAATAATTGGGATAGAATTTTAATTAAGCTTTTGAAAAAAATACTAATGCCAAAATCTCTCTTTATATAACTAAATATTGGGATGGCTGTTTCAATAGATTTGTCTAATAAGTCTTACTTTATTTATTATTTTAATTTTTTTTGTTGATTTGAATATGAACAAATGCACATGAAACAAGGATACTTTAATTGAATATATTGTATTAAATGAAATAACAATTTAACTATTTGATTAATGGTTTGAACAGGACCGAAATACATATGAAACAGAAATAACAATTTATTTATTGTTACAGCTGAAGCTGAAAAATAGCAGAAATCAGAAATTTTAACCATTTCAATATGAAAATTTCAAAAATTTTTGGGTGCATTTTTTTTTTTGATTTAGTAAGGTTTATATTTTTAAATCAATCCCTAATTTCCAGCTTTAGCCACAATATTTATTGAATTGAACAAGGTCTAATATTTTATTTGTTAATTGGAATATGCCAAAACGGCAATGAAGAAAAATTTTATTAGTGTAATTTTTGTCTTTAATTAATTTGGATCAATTGTGTTGACTTAAAAAATGATTTGGTTTGTTTCGTAATTAAACTAAGATTTTGCATTTGATTCGAAGACTATCCAAATTATACTGCTTGTAACAATTTTATTAATAAGTGTATTAATTATATTGTTTACTTTATTTGTATAACTTAATAAATATTTGTGACTTTCAAAACTAATATATAGAGTTTTAGCTTGCAAATTTTATTACTTAAAGAATTACAATTTTAACATGCAATTTAGGTTTTTGATCAATGCATACTGTATTTTTTTAATAGTCAAAAATCGCATGTGTACATATATGTATAATTAAACAATAAAATTAATGGACAAAAAAAGAAAAGTAAGTTCTATCGCTATATAATTTTTTTAAACAAAATTAAAATCTCAAATTTCTTATATATAGTGTGTGTTTCTCTGATTCACGCCATAATATAAATTTACTTATGATATATATAAAACTTCATCAGCAAATTTAAAGATGCGAAATATTGCGAAAGAATTTGCATTATAAAAAAATTTCGAAAATAAGTACAATAAATTTCGAAATATTTTGAAAATTAATATTTTCAAAAAATTTCGATAAAAATTTCAAAATATTTCAAAATTTATTGCACAATATTTTGTTTAAAATAATTTCAAAATAATTTGAAATATTTAAAATAATATGAAATTCCTAAATACTTTAGCAAATATTTCTTTCGAAATTCGAAATCATGCAAATATTAGCAAACTGTATCGATATGATTTACATTTAATTTAATTAGCTCAACTTTGCATTTTAGAATTTTTTTTTTCTTTGTACTCTAACAAAAAGTTTTCAGACAATTTTACTTTTACAATTACTTCCTTTAGCTCTAACCCTTGTTTATTATTTATTATGTTTTTTTTTTTCTCTTTTTTTTTTTTTTGCTATTTTTTTTTTATTGTATCGATGTGATCTATATTTAATTTGCCTTTAGTGTTTTATATTTAAAGTTTACAAATAACGTGTCTATTATTCAAATATATTCGAATATAGTCAAATATAAACAATAGAATTTTTATTCTTGATACTCTAACAAAAAAGTTTTCGTTAGACAATTTTACTTTTACCCTTGTTTTTTTTTCTGGTTTTTTTTTTTTTTTTTTTTTTTTTTTTTTTTTTTTTTTTTTTTTTTTTTTTTTTTTTTTTTTTTTTTTTTTTT